GGAGACCATAAAAGAGAACTGGGACGGAGGTCTTTGTGAGACGAAACAGTTCTGTATCTTGATTGTGGTGGCGGCTACAGAAATCTACACATGTGAGAAAATGACCCAGAGGTACAGGCTCCCCGCTCTCTGAAAGTGGAGGTTCCTATGAAGCCGAAATGGCATAAAGCTAAGAAGCAATTACCATTAATTTACTTAGGAAACGTTTTGCTAGTTCACACCCCCAAAATAACCTACCAATCATACTAAACATGCTTAATTAGGTCCAGTTTCACGCCAACCAGAACACCTTTAAGAGCTCTCTTATTTTTGTTCACTTAGGACCCATCTTGCTAACAGACACAAAATCAATGGCGATAAAGCCCAGGTGCTCCCAGACTCAGCTCAGAGCTCTGGGCCGGTGCTGAGATGCTGCGATGCTGAGGGTGGTTCCTGGGCAGAAGTTGGTCGGCGGGGCCACTCTGCTGCTGGGGTGCCACTGCCTCTACTGGCTGCTGCAAGCGAGCACCAGGCCCTAGTTTTGCCTTTTTCATAGAAGCAAAAATCCTCTTCAGCTTTCTCTCCATTAGTGAAAACAGATACTGAAGTAGATCTTTTGTCCGGTGAAAATACAGGCACATAAACCTATGCAGGCACACCTTACCACCCCGGGTTCCTGGTTTGAAATTGTCACCAGCCTGATGACAGATGTAACGAAGGTGGGAGCCCTTCCTGAACTAACTTTGCAGCTGCCTGCGGATCTATCATTACTGTAAAATCAAAAGTTTAAAATGTGAATTTTAATGTTAAAGACTCTAAAATAAGGCCACTTAGACAAAGACCTTGTGAGAGCAGGCTGCAGGGAGCAGAGCAGCTAGAGGCACTAAGGCCCCCCTGGACCCTCTGCCATCCTAGTCTGTCATCGTCTGGAAATACAAGAGCTGCCGCTGTCTAGGCAGCAGGGGGCACAGGGTGGAGGAGCGGAGTCAGGGCCTCAGCGTGCCCCTTGTTTATAATTCTGCTATCCTCACTCCCCTGGGAATGCCCTGGACACCAGCCCTGCTCTCCAGTCTTCACAGTGGGCAGTTAGGAGACAGTGGCTGGAGGGACATGTGCCTGCAGATGCCACCCATGTCTGCACTGGGCCACCCATGTCTGCATCTGAAGCAAGGTCACTAATTTCGCTTCCTCTACCTGCTTTTGCTGGCCTGGGCTCCCAGTTTTAGACTCTTTTCTCTAGACTCATATCCTTAGAAAAACATACCGTCTGTGATGCCTTGGGCCCTACGACAGAGAATCTACTGGGACCCCCAGCCTGGTGCTCTGTGGTCAGCCCCGTGGGCAGCCGTGGACAGCACGGCCAGCAGAGCAGGGTCAGAGAGGGGCTTCTGCTGCTGACTCTGCACCTCCCTCTCCAGCCCAGCAAGCCTTCTGCTCCACGGGGTCAAGAATCGGCCACTCACCTCAATGTTCTCCCCTCCTCTCCTAGTAACCTCCTCCCTCCTCAGATGTGAGGCACACATGATTCTACATTGCATGTTAAGAAGGTTTCTTTAAGGAGAAAGCCAGCACAAAGCAGCATAAACAGAATAACCCAACTAGATAAGTCCATGTGTACAGTGGTCCTCTCTTACCTGCCGGGGCCACAGCCCAAGACCCTCAGTGAATGCCTGAGACCTCAGACAGGACAGCACCAAACCACACACACACACACACACACACACACACACACACACACACGATAAAGTTTAATTTGTAACTAGGTGCAGCAATAGATTACCAACAATAACTAGTAATAAAACAGAACAATTATAACAATGTACTGTAATAAACTTGGTTTCTTTCTCTCTCAGCAACTAGCATGAAATTCTTTTTCCTTCTTCACAACCTCACAGATGAAAGACTCATTCTTATCGTAGACTTAGCAACCTCAGCATGATTTTTTTTTCTTTCGTTATTAAATTTAGAACTTTGAACTTTTCACTTTAAGGAAGCACTTTATGGCTTCTCTTTGGCATATCCGAATTGCCAGCGTCATTACCCTTGTGGTTTGGGGCCATTCTTATGTAAAACAAGGGTGACCGGAACACTCTGTGATACTGTAACCACTGATCTTATAACCACGGTGGCCACAACAGGCGGGAGGTGTATATGGTGCAGAGACACTGGACAAAGGGATGATTCGCATCCTGGGCTGACAGTGGACAGCGAGAAATTTCATTACACTACTGCAGATTGGCACACAATTTAAAACTTACAAATTGTTCATTACTGGAATTTTCTATTTAATATTTTCAGGTCACGGTTGATCATGGGTAACTTAAACCACAGAAAGCAAAACTATGGGTAAAGGAGGACTATGTATATGAATATGTGTATGTGTATGAGTTATATTTCTTTCAGTGTTTTCTAAGTTTTCTAAAGTGAATAAGGATTACTGTGAAGGAAAAATAAAGTGGTAATGAGGAAACATTAGACAGGCCAAATGGAGGGATATTGTACAAAACAACTGATCCATAGTCTTCAAAGTGTTAACACAAAGACTGAGAAATTACTCCAGATTAAATAAGAAAAGGAGACAGGACAACTAAATGCAATGTGGAATCCTAGACTAGATCCCGGGCCAGAAAAATGCCATCAGGGGAAAATCAGCACAATTTCAATAGGTTTATAGGGCAGTTGCTACATAGTTACAATGTGAACTTACTAATTTTTTTATAATATATTTTATTGATTTTTGTATAGAGAGGAAGGGAGAGAGAGAGAGAGAGAGTTAGAAACATCAATGAGAGAGAGTCATCAATCAGCTGCCTCTTGCATACCCCCAATGGGGATATGCCCGCAACCAAGGTACATGCCCTTGACCGGAATCGAACCCGGGGTCCTTCAGTCCCCAAGCCGACGCTCTATCCATTGAGCCAAACCGGTCCTGGCTGAACTTACTAATTTTTTAAAAATATGTTTTATTGATTTCAAAGAGGAAGGGAGAGGGAGAGACATAGAATCATCAATGAGAGAATCATTGATCAGCTGCCTCTTCCACACCCCCTACTGGGGATGAAGCCCGAAACCAGTGCATGTGGCCTTGACCAGAATCAAACATGAGACCCTCCACTCCACAGGCTGATGTTCTCTGCACTGAGCCAAACCAGATAGGGCCGTTTACTTACTAATTTTGATAGTTGTACTACATGAGTTGGGCCTCAGGAGAGGCTGAGAAAAGAGTATATGGGAATCTCTACTATTAACAGCAGTTTTGCTATAAATCTGAAATTTCAAAAGAAATATAAATGAATAACATTGAACCACCGACAATATCTTGCCACTTAAGATATTGATGACCTAAGCCCAGCAGAACCCCGAACTTCACTCCTCCAGAAATTCCACTTGCAGGAGTTGGCATCCTGGGAGTGGGTACAAGAGATGTCCCCATCCACCCATCCCAATATGTTTATTGATTTTAGAAAGAGAAGAAAGGGGAGGGGAGAGGAAAGAGAGAGAGACTGGCTCCTCTCCTCCCCACCCTCGGGCCTGCACATGCCCTACCAGGAACCAGGAATCAAAACTGGAAACCCTTTTTGGCTTATGGGAGGGCACTCCAACCAACTGAGCCACCCAGTTGGGGCTCACGTGGGTGCTTTCTTGATTCTAGAAGCCCTTTCCCTCCAGTCTCCTGCCTGTTGGTCTCTCCTGGTCTCTAAGCCTTTCCTTCTTCATCTCCCCCCCACACACACACACCAAAAATCTAGACTGTTGTTTGGGGTGCAAAAATTCACCGCCCACAGGCCTGGACTCCTGGACTTGACCAGGTCAGATGGCCTCTCCCTGTCTGGCCACCTCCTTGAGCACAGCGTGACTGCTGGAGAAGTGCTCACAGTGTCCCTCCCGCAGTCAGGGGCTGGGAAGGCAGTGTCACCTGTGGCCTGCCTGGTGGACACAAACCATGTGATTGAGTCAACCACAGTCCTGGCAATTCATGCCGTTGTTCTGAGGTGAGGACACACCCGGGTCCCGGCACAGAGAACTTGCAAGAGCACTAAGATGCCACCAGCCTGGCAGGATGCCCATGCTGTGTCCTCTGGGAGGGTGGGTGTGGCGAGGGGAGGGGGGCAGAAACCTGCCTGTTGGGTGAGGTTTCAGCTGGAACCACCCAAATGCTGGGCCTGCCCTGCCTCGGTTCCTTTCTGGGTGCCCTTTAACCAGTTTGCCAAAAGGCCACTCAGTTGGGCCAGCTTTCCAAGCCGAGGACAAGAGTGAGAGGGCTGGCCAGGTCCAGTTGGAAGCTGGAATCTCTTTCTGGCTTTCCCTGCCTGCCTGGCAGGGCGGCCTGGCTCAGAGCTGCTGAGGAAGCACCCCCACAGGCAGGCATTTCAGGAGTGGGAGAACCAGCTCCTTCGTCCTGGTTTGTTCACCAGACTGAGTGCCCCCATCAGCAGAAGCGCATGATGACAGCGGCTCGGAGGGGACCAGCTCAGCGGACACTGTGCAGGACACGCCAGGGTCTGGCAGCAATTGGACCCAGTTCAGCCATGGGCACCCCAGAGTCACCATTGGGGTGACGGGTTCTCATGGGTTGCCAGGGTGGCTCACCCCTAGATTAAGGCCAGGATTATCATAAGCCGCCTCTTCTGGGGAGTCCACCCAAGTCCGGGTTCACTGGCAGCTGACTTGACAAGAAGGCACCAGCAGACCTCTCAGGAGGCGAGGCCGAGTCCCCGTTTGGAACTTTAGAAAGGTGGCTCGGGAAAAGAACCCATAAAAAATAAAAGTCCGTTTACAAAACTCTCCTGAAGATCCACAAGATTCTAGCAGCGCCTCCTCCCCCCAACACCCCCCCCCCGCGGGGAAGGAGGGCACCCCCAGCGCTGCGGGCCCCGGGGGAGCGCAGGAGCCATGGAGAGTGTCCTGGAGCCAGCGGAGCGATCGGGAGAAACAGCTCCTGGGGTCCCCCTTCGTACCCCCAAAAGGTGAGGGCCCCAGCCCCCGCGGGTCCTGGCCGTCCCTCCGCGGGCCGTACTCACCAGCTCGGGCAGGAAGAAGGCGAAGGGAGTGGTGAGGAACAGCGCGAGCCCCGAGGGCACGTCAGGGGGCGCGTGGCTGGTGGGGGGCGGTGGGCCCGGGGCGGCCATGCTCACTCGCTGCTTAGCTCCGGGCTCCCTGTCTGGCTCCTGGCTCCAGGCTCCTAAGCCGCTGTCCGGGCGCAGCCCGTCCAATGTCAATCCCTGCCCGACACACCCATCGGACGTCGCCTGGGAGGGACAAAAACGTTCCCGCCGAGCAGGTCCTTCCACTCGCTGCAGCCAGAAACCTCAGTGAAAGTCGGCTTGTGCATCGACGGGCCTCGCCTCCCTAGTCTCTTCCTTCCTTGGAATTTTTGAATCCGGGAGCATATTACTCCAGAAATGCCAGTCACAGCCACACACACACAGCCCAGCCGACCCCCGACCCCCACCTCTGTGCCGAGTACAGGCTAAGGCTGTTTACCTGTCAAAGACCGTGTATTTAGGACTTGCTGTGAGCCAAGGATCTACAGAGCACTCCATTCTCCCCACAGCCCTGCCCCAGGCTGCTTAGCTCCCTTTCCCGTGTGGAGACCAAGAATCTGCTAGGTCAGGTCAGACACTGACATGCTGGGTCTCACATCTACGACCCTGTTCCCTCCTCCCTCTCCTTCTCCCCGCCCCCAGGCCACCCTCAACCTCAAACCAGACAGAGGAAGAGAAGCAGCCCTCACTTCCAGCTCCCTCCCCAGGGACTTGGTGCTTCCTTCTTTCTCCTCACGCCTCCCTGACCCTCCTCTCTTTCCCCAGCACAGTAGATGGAGGAGACCACTGTCTCTGGGAGAAATCTGCCCCAGCAGGCACCCCAGAATGGCCCAGCTGGAGGGATGCTGCCTCAAGCCCCAGTTCTCCTCCAGCCCCATCCTGGCTTCCCAGACAGTGTGGCCAGGAGCCAGGCTTTGAGCCAAGCAGTTCCTTCCTGCCTCCTCCTGCCTGCTGGCCAGCACAGGGACTGTGACCTGGCAGCCAGGCAACTCCCCTCACTGCATGCGGAGATGAGTCCTTTCCTCTCTACCTTAGAGCCAACCGCCCGCTGAAAGGCCTGGCACCCAGAGTTTGCAGGCTGCTGGGGTTGGGTCCTTTCCCCTTGGCCTCGTGGCCTCAGCCTCAGCCTCAGCCTCAGCCTCAGCCCTGGGGTGGAAGGATGAGGGGAGAACTGCCTTATGTCTTATGTGCTCCAGTAATTAGATGTCCTCCTGAAGAGACCAGCACCTGCTCCTCAGCAAAAACAGTGCTCCTGCCCAACCTGGCACAGATGGTGGGTGGGCCTTTGGTCCGGAGAGAGCGGGGGTCGGGGGATGAGGGTCAGATGTTAGAAAAAACAAAGCCAAAAGCAAAGGCCTTGCAAGGAGTGGCAATAGGCCCACTGAATAAACCTCAAAGCTCCACATGCCTGCCTCTGGAATGCCCTGGTACCCTCAGCCCTCAGCCACCTCAGGGCAGGCCTGAGACACAAAGAAGCCTCAGATGGTGGCTGCCCAGCTACCCAGGGTGCCCGAGGCTCAGCTGAGGTTGATATTGGATGGGCTGCCGCCCCAACAGTGGCTTAGGAGCTGGGAGCCAGGAGCCAGGCTGGAGCCAGGAGTGGCAGCAGCAGAGGTGTGATGGAGCATCGCCTTCCCCTGATCACTGGGTTCCCTCCCACCCCTAAGGGCTCGCAGACTGTGAGAAGAGGCAGGCTGGGCCGAGGGATTCCCCCCCCTTTCAGTACATGAATTTTCATGCACCGGGCCTCTAGTTTTATTATATTCAACAAAGTATAACACACTCTCCTTAAGCTATTTATAAGAAAACTATGTAATTCACAAGGCACTTCAGGCAGTAGGGTTCTATATAGAAGAGATGTGTTAATGAAAAAAACAATGAAACCTGTAAAAAACATTTTGTGAGTTTATTTGAGCCAAACTGTCGACATATGCCAGAAAGCAGAACCTCAATGGATTGAGATAATGCTCCAAAGAATGGCGGGTTACATTTCTATTTATACACTGAAATCTAAGGAGGGACATAGGTGGGTTACATGAAATTCATTGGTGATGGAGTAAGGAGGTGGGAGAAAGCAAAGCTGTGGGAAACCCCTGGGATTGGATAAAAAGTAAAATGATGGACTCACACTTAGGTGAGTACAGGAGCAATTAACATGATAATGAAGGAATTTGAGGCATCTGTCCTGGTGCTTACCACATTTGGTTGTGCCCCAGGGACTCCAGAAAAAGGGAAGTTACAAGCTACTCAGACATCTCATAGATATGTTATCTTAGAGGCAGGAAGGCAAATTGGGCTCAGTAAAGAAGATCTAAGTTGATCTTTGACTGGTGAAATATCGGCCTAGGATATGACTACCCACTATAACCTGTTTGTAGTTAGATATTTAATTTTCAAACCATCTTTTGTCGTTATTTTAGGTCTCTGAGTTTGTAAAACTGCCACACAGGCTTCCCCTGAGCTTGCCAGGTTAGCATGTGGCTCTTTTCCTTCACAGATGGAAGTCAGAGCTGTAAGAGCATCTTCACCTCCTAGGATAATCCAGGCACTTCAGGGGCTGGGGCACGAATTCTCTTGGACACGAGGTCAGAGTCTGCCCGGAGAAGAGTGAGGGCCTCTGCACAGAGGTCCCTGGTTCCCACCTCATGGCACTGAGAACTGGAGTTAATCTGAGCATCACTCCAACATTACTTGGTCATGATCATTTTCTCGTTTGTTAATTGGGGCAGGTTAAATGAGATGATATATATAAAAACCTGTAAGACATTTCTGACATATGGCAAATGCTTCATAAGTACTTGCTTACCCAATTCTAATCCGTAAACCACTTCTCTTCTGGCTCTCTTTCTTCCCACAGCAAGATCACCACTTCCCTGTTAATACTTCCATGCTAATTTTAAATTTCAAATATTTTTTCAAAACTTGTACTGATTTATAATACACTTACAGAAAAATGCACAAAACATACAGGCCATGAAACTACCACCTACAGCAAGAAAGGAAACACTGCGCTGGCAGTTGGCTCAGTTGGTTGCAGTGTCATCCCATATACCAAAAGGCTGGGGGTTCAATTCCAATCAATGCACATACCTAGGTGCATGTTTGATCCCTAGTGGGGAGTATATGGGAGGCAACTGATTGATGTTTCTCTCTCATATTGATGTTTCTCTCTCTCTTAAAAAATAAATAAATAAATAAATAAATAAATAAATAAATAAATAAATAAAATTGCCGAAGCCGGTTTGGCTCAGTGGTAGAGCGTCTGTCTGCTGACTGAAAGGTCCCAGGTTCGATTCCGGTCAAGGGCATGTACATTGGTTGCGGGCACATCCCCTGTAGTGGGTGTGCAGGAGGCAGCTGGTCGATGTTTCTCTCTCATCGACGTTTCTAGCTCTCTAGTCCTCTCCCTTCCTCTCTGTGGAAATCAATAAAATATATTTTAAAATAAATAAAAATTGTGTGAGGATTAAAAAAAGAAAAAAAGATAGAATATTGCCAGGCTCCTCTCAATCATTTCTCTCACCTTCCTCAAAACGCCTGCTCTCCTGATGTCTAACCCAATAGGCTGGTTTTGTCTGTTTCTGAGTTAATTCCTTTGTGGATGGCTTGTCTCACTCAACATGATGCTGCAAAACTCACTCATGCCCTTGTGGGCTGCTCCCTGCTACATGGTACTCCATTGTATGGATATTTTACATTTTATCCATGTTATTGTTTATAGACTCAAGTTTTTACAACTTTGTGTTATAACATGGCCAGGAACTTTCTAGAACAAGTCCTTTGGTGCATTTGTGTGTACATTTCTTTTTTCTTGCCTTTTTTTTTGTTAATCAGAGGATATTTGTCCATTGATTTTTTGTGGGATCCCTTAACATGACCCACGTGGTTCAGGGCCCACTCAGAGCCTGGTTTCTGGAGAAGGCCACACCCTAAAATGAAGAAACTGGAAAAAAGTTAATTTGGAAAATGGGGGCCAGGCGAGAAGTCCACCTCTAGTGGGAAGATTACCCGCTCTCTGGCCTTTTACCATTCCTTTTATTGAAATTCTGAGACAAAAACATCTCTTAGGCAGGAAATTCCAACAATAGAAAATCAACAAGAATTTACATATGATTAACAAATTAAAGTTGCCTCAACTACCACTATCTCAACTAGACATCAGTTAATACCTCTGACCATTCAGATCCATCAAGGTTGGCCAGCTCTTTTTCCATTTTATTACCAGTGACAATGTTAGGTTTTGTTTTCCAGCAATTTTTAGAGAAAGTGGAAGGGAGAGGGAGAGACAGAGAGAAACATTGATGTGAGTGAAACACATCAATTGGTTGCCTCCTGCACATACCCAGACCAGGGTCAGGGAACCTGCAATCAAGGAACATGTCCTTTACTGGAATCAAATCCAGGATCTTTCAGTCCAGGGGCCCATGCTCTATCCACTGAACCAAACTGCTTAGAGCTATTTCTATTGGTAATATATGAGACATGGAACTGTGAGTGACATGTTATATGTCTTTCTCAGATAATGTCAAGCAATTTCACAAAGTGGTAAAGCTGTTTAAATCCCAATGACAAGTAGGCAAGACCCATTGCTTATAATTTTTTTTAATTTTTTAATTAAATTATTATCTTTGTACATATACCATTGCCCCCCCCCTTTGTACATATACCTCCCTCCCCACCCATTGCTTGTAATTGATGTTTGCATGTATATTTATCACACTTGGTGTTTTCATGGTATGTATTTTTCCACCCTTTTACTTTTTTTTTTTAATATATTTTATTGATTGTTTACAGAGAGGAAGGGAGAGAGATAGAGAACTAGAAACGTCGATGAGAGAGAAACATCGACCAGCTGCCTCTTGCACACACCCCACTGGGGATGTGCCCTCAACCAATGTACATGCCCTTGACCGGAATCGAACCTGAGACCTTTCAGTCCACAGACCGACGCTTTACCACTGAGCCAAACCGGTTTTGGCTCCACCCTTTTACTTTTAACTTATCCATGTAACTATAGGTTTTTTAGTGTTTTTATGTGTGTGGTTATAAATATACTTGGGTTTCCCCCTCTTCCCCCCCACTTCCCACCACCAATCCTCCTGAAATTTTCTGTCTTTAATTGGTGTCTTTAGACTTTTTACAATTAACATAATTATTGATATGTTTAAATTTAGGCCTATCATTTTATTTATTTATTTTTGTTTTCATTTGTTTGCTGTTCATTTCTTCCTTCCTGCATGCTTTTGAAATATTTTTAGTGTTTCATTTTAATTCATATATTG